GTGGGTATTTGGGATTGGGTCAAAAAACCCAGCCCCAAAACCCAGTCCTAAGAGACTTGGTCCCAAAATGGGACCAGGCCTAAGGAGGAGGGCTCGATCCCTCCACTGGGCCCTCCTCCAAGGGCCCAATTTTTTTTGCACTTTTTCTTTTTAGTCCTTTGTATAATTACGTAAAACCTCCTATAAATTTTTAAATAAACATAAATTGTAGCGTTTAAAATGAAATTTTACAAAATTTATTAAAAAAAAAAAAAATTATTTGTCGAACAGTTTGTATGCACACCATACCTTCATGCATGATCAAGTGATCAACAAAGCATTTATCTCTTTGTTCTTTTTTTTTTTTTTTTTTTTCTTTCAGTGTTATTAAAATTCAATTCAATTTATTTAATGGGTTTGATTTTTAAAAATAAATTGTTGGTGAAGATTAGTATTGTTACGAAATCTCAAATAATTAATGTAATCCGATTGATTTTGATTAAATCAAAATTGATGGCTGCGTGATTATAAATAATCAACAAGAAATAATTAAGAATAATAATGAAAGAAGAATTTTATTAATGTATTTATGATTACATTGAACTAATTTTTCTGTATCTTCTCCCACAGAGACATGTTATGATAAGGTTTATATAATACCCATTTACATGATAGAGTTGAGGTAAGATTCAAATTAATAGAATTAGGAAGTTGCATGATCTTCGGTTATCTTAGATGAGATTTAAGTCAATCTGAATATCTTCCTTCCAAAACGAACCAATCTAAGTACATTTTTTTTACTAATAGGGAATTATCATCTAAGGATTTCTCATATAATAATATAATTAGTGTTTGACATTGACTATGTTAGAGATATTTTATCATGTAATGATTATCTCTGTCGTTTTTGGTTTTCTAGAGTTAATTACTAATAGGTCTTTATATCAGATTTTCTTATACACGGTAGGACTCTGAGAATGAAAATGTCATCATGGTGACAACACTACACTTGTACATTTATACCCATTTATGAAATTTGATAGATTTCATGGGTATTCATTATTCAATAAGTGATTCAGAGGTGGTTTAGTTGGGCAAATTCAATTCAACAACTGTATAACTATGTTTTCGGTGTGCTTTTATAATGAACTCATGCCCCGAATTTTGCTCTATAAATCATAGGGTTATGTTCCAGTTTCCTCATTAAACTAGTCGGTTTGGTTTTCTAAACGTTACTTGCAGATTTTATGTATTATATCGTGCATGTTAAGTCACAAGTAATTATATCGTCATCTTAGTGACATCAGAAGGCTTGTACTTGAATACCCACTGTTCTTCAATGGTGGAACCAACATGAAAGTCAATTCCCCATTATAGCCCAAATGGCACGTGACATTTTATTTGTGCCGTTTTCTACAATTACATCCGAGTCAACATTTTCAACCAGTGGTCGGATTGTTGAAGACAGAAGATGTTCTTTAACCGATGAGATGATTGAAGTGATAACGTGTTTACGTTATTTGATTCATGTATAAAGAATACTACAACAGCACCTTGAAGATCTCGAACTACTCGAACTCTTTAGGAATACAGATTTGAATGATGTAAATATTGTTGACGATGAAGATGAATAATTTAATAAAAAAATTATTTAATTGTTTATTTGTGAAGTGTGAATGTGTGAAATGTGAATATTACATTTATGTTAAAAATTAAAATTAACTATAAATTTATTTATTATTTTATTATTTTTTAAAATTAATTAAATTTTTTGAAACTTACTAATCTACCCCTAAAAAATACTAAAAACCCCCTACAAAATTTCATTTCACCCTTAAAATATAAAAAAAGATTAGGGGGGAAAATAAATTTTTCAGGCCCATAGGACCAATCCTAAGGATTGGTCCGGGTCCTAATATTGCTCATGGGCCTGGGACCATGAGCGACTGGTCCCATTTGGGACGAGTCCCAAACAGGCCCAGACCCGGGCCTGCCTAGGACTGGTCCTTGACCAGCTCTAGTTTAAACGATAAAGTTCATGACTATCTTATTTATTCTAAACTCTTTACTAAATGACCATTCGCTTAAGCAATATAAGTTTATTGCTTCAACGATATAGGTTTATCTATAAATTTATCTCTTAAGCGATATGTGTTAAATCGCTTAAGCGATAAAGTTCATGGCTATTTAATTCATTATAAACTTGAGATGATGTTTTAATAGTCAAGCCCATATTCTTATAACTTTCTACAACGTTGGCTTAGTTTTATCTTTACAATTTCCTTTACTTTGTATGTTTTCTAGTGATGGTGCTCATCAAGAAGAATGATGGAGAATGATGGAGTTGTTAGGGTTTCTATTTTGAAACTCTTCAAGTACTTTTCATACATGTAGGTATAGCTAGAAGCCTAGTTAGTAAAAACGCGTTTTATACACGAATTATACGGCCAGCCATATAATTCGCATATAAAACGCATTTTTTCGTATTTTATAAAATCTGCCGAATTATACGCGTATAATATGGATACCCGTGTTATTTGCGAATTATTGAAAAAAAAAAAACAAATGAGCTCACCCCAAAACGACGTCGTTTTAGTGAGGTTTGACTCAAAATTAAAACAAAATCTTTCTCTTATTCAGTTCTTCTCCAGTTCTTCTTCCTCAGTTCTTCGATTCTTCTTCTTCCTCAGTTCTTCTTCAACTTTTCTTCCTCAGTTCTTAACGTTTTCAGCTTTTCTTCATCTCTTGGGTCTTCATCTCTTGTTCTCTTCTTCTAGGCTTGAACTTCAAGTTCGGGACTTCAAGGTACACACTTGACACTTGTTCTCTTCTCTTTGAATCTCGTTGGTTGATTGCTTGTGTTTGTGTTGGTGTGAGTAGTAGTAGTAGGAAGGGCCGGTGGATTGATGGATTTGTTATGTTGGTGGATTGATGGATTTGTTTGAAACATGTTTGATGAAATGCTTATGAGAGTTATATTTGTATTTGTTACTGTGGCCTTTACGTTTGTTGGTAATGCTCTTAAGATTGTTAAGTTTCTGTATTTGGTTGTTTACTACTTGTAAGCAGTTGGGTACTTGGGTTTGAACAAAATTTTCTACCCAAAAATTTAACTTAACGCATTGGGTGGGACTAGCCGCACTGCTGATTTCTGTAAGCCCCATTCTGCATTTGTATTGATTACAGTTGTGAATATGAGTCAACTTTATTGAGGTGCTATTTGTATCACCTGCTGCAGTTTGACTGGTAGCTACTATTTTTCAGTCCACTTCAATAGCCCCTTTTACTCCACGCCTTAGATGCTATTTGGTTGTATGCATGTATTAGAGCTTTAGTGCTTCAAAATTTGATGAATCATATATATTCGTTTTGGTGGATCTGGATCTGCCAAGATTTGATTAGCTAGAGAACAATTTCTCTAAAGCCATGCATATTGCTTACTAATAAGTAATTTTGATTGTCTTAGTTTGTTGATAAGAAAAGCATTATCAACCAATTATCATTAGATTATCGACCTAATACACAGTAATTGGTTGAGCCTTATCGCATCAATCTCTATGGATCTTTAAAGCATCAACCTATTAAAATCTTCCTTAAATGTTGCATTCTCATATATGAGATTATCCAGTTCCATACAAAAGTTTAACATGCCCCTAGTTCACAACCCACTTCACTCTCATGTCAACTTAAACACACACCCACTCAATGTAATTTAAATTTTATGATCAGCTTTACACCCAAAATCTTATTATAATTTACATTGCAAGTATTTGAATATCCTTTCCTAATTTGAATTTTCCCTATTTCATGATAGGCGATACTAAACATAATTAGATATTGAGAGTATAATCTTCATTAATCACATGATGTATATTATAAACATATAACACAGTGGATATATATAAGAAACATATTAATTTACACAGTCAAAATTCACAACTCAACTCAACATTTTGAAGAAAATTAAACTTACCCTTTGCTTGCTATATTGATTAAACTTTAATGTTAAAGACTTATATGTATGTAAGAGCAGGTTGTAACTCTTTTCCAAAACCAGGAGACACCAAATCAATGGCCCCAAAACAGTAAAATAGAAGAAGATATGGTATATAAGCAGCAAAGGAGAAACATGTCGTAGTCTTAATGTTTCTAAATATACATCCATGCAGCTGTGGAAAGAATGAGGAAAAGAATAAAGTCATTCTCATTTCCATTATTTGAAATAACATATTTGTATTTGATTGCTTAGTTTTGCTTTTAAATGAATGTAAGAAAAAGTGATGAGTAAAAAGAAAAAATTAAATGTGAAAAGAAGCTACTACTTAATATTAATTTTTATCAATCTTTTTTCCTTTTGTATTTGATGATGTTCTCTTTTATGTTCTTATAAATACATGCAGACTCAAACCAACATGGTACGAAAAAAAGATAAAATTTGGGAGCATGTTAAGGAGCTCCAAGGAAATAAATGGAAATGTAAATTTTGTCAAAAAGTATTTAGTGGTGGGGCTTACAAAATTAAAGCACACTTGTCGGGAATTACTGGCCATGATGTTGAGATTTGTAGTAAAGTCAATCATGAGACACAAGCATGTGCATTCTTAGCTATGTCTGTAATTGGAAGTAACAAAAAATTAAAAAGTTCAGCTGGTTCTTCTACTGCTTTAAACTCTAATGATCGTGAGGAGGAAACAGATTCACCATTTTCACCACTTTCTAAGGGTAGTCAAAGACGTCAAAGTCAAGCATCTTTACTAGAAATGAATAAGAAAAAAGACAAGGAGTTTGTCGATAAAATGCTTGCTAAGTGTTTTGTGGTGAACAATATCACTTTTAATGTTGTTCAAACTGGTGCTTTTGGAGAATTTGTTAAGGCAATGGCTGAATATGGTGCAACCTACAAGCTTCCATCTTATTCAACTCTTCGAACTAAGTTAATTCCAGAATCTAGAAAAGGTGTTGATGAGTATGTTGCTATGGTGAAGCGTTCTTGAGATACATCTGGATCTGGTTGTACTATAATGTTTGATATATGGACTAATATAAGGCATCGATCTTTCATTAATCTTGTGGCACATTCACCTAGCAGTGCAGTGTTTATAAAATCATTGGATATTTCTCGAGAAAGAAAAACTGGGATTTATCTGAAAGAAATTGTTGTTTCTGTTATTGAATCAATTGGACAAGATCATGTTGTGCAATTCATAACTTATAATGGTAGCAATTTCACATCTGCTGGTGACATACTCATTGGATTGTATCCTCGAATGTATAAGACGAGGTGTGCTGCTCATGGAATTCAGCTTCTTTTGAAAGACATATATGAAGAAGTTAATTTGGTAAAAGTTGCCACAGATGAAGCAAGAATAATAGTTATGTTCATGACACGATACACAGTTCTTCATGCAGCAATGAAAGAGTTCACCAAAGATAGACAATTGAGACAATCTTGTGCCACAAGATTTGCTTCAAATTTTTTAATGCTTCAATCTGTGTTGGATTTGGAGAATGAGCTTCGACTCTTTGTTGCTTCATCTGAATGGAGGAGTTTTGATTATTGTAAGACTGAATCAGGTAAAAGGGTCACTGAAATTGTTCAAAGTGAATTTTGGGCTAGAGGAAGGGAGGTTATAAAAACTATTGAGTCATTGGTTCGAGTTCTTCGTTTGGTTGATGGTGATGGATCTACTGCTGGTTACTTATATGAAGCAATGATGATGGCAAAAGTTGCAATCAAAGAAAGATGTAATAGTGAGGCAAGCAAGTATGAGAGAATTTGGGAATTGTTTAAGAATTGTCGGGTCAACAACATCATTCATCTTATACATGCTGCAGCTGCCTTTCTCAATCCATCTTACTTTTTCTCGAAAAATTTTAGAGAGAATAGGGAGATGAAAGATGGCATCAATTTCATTCATGAAAACCTGCTTCTAATAGAAGAAAAACATCAATTTATGAGAGAGGTTCAGTTGTATCGTAGTAGGCCAGCTACCTTATTTACTGCAATAGCAAAAACGATGTTACAAACAAGTCATCCTCATAAGTGTTTTAAAAAATTTCAATATCTTTTTTGTACATTGCTTCTCTCTTTATATTCAAGAAAGCTTTTTATGTCATTTGCAAGAATATGGTGGGATTACAATGGGGACGATCTTCCTGTGCTCAAGAAGTATGTCATTCGAATTCTGAGTCAACCTTGTAGCGCTTCATCATGTGAGAGAAATTGGAGTGCCTTTGAAGCTGCTCAAACAAAAAAAAAGGAATAGGTTGTCACATGAAATGCTAGACACACTTGTGTATGTGAGGATGAACACGATGATGATGGATAAATTCACTTCCATGATGAGTCGTGATTTAGAACCTATAGATCTTGAGAAATTATGGGAGCTTCCAGACTATGAATATGAAGAAATTCATATGGACGAAGATGCTAATTCTACAGCAACAATTGAGGGTTACATGGATGACGTAATGGATAATGATGACATTGCTTGGTTGGATGATGCTATTTTTTGAGTTGTTATTGACTTATTGTTGTTTATGTATTTTGTAAGTTTTTGTTATAAACTATAATTTGAATCTTGGTTGTATTATTTGTGTATTTTATTTGTTTGGAGCTCTTATTCGACTTTGAATTTTGGTTTTGTTATGACTTATGTGTTTAATTTAACACTATAGTTGAATCTTGGCTAAATATTGTGTTTGAGTCTAGAGACTATAATTTGAATATCAGTTATATATTATGTATTTGTGTTATTGGTTAATTGAATACTTTGCATTTGAAATGTTATATTGATTTTAACCAAGTAGTCCATAAAAGTGTTAAAACTAAGATTGATATTACCGTATTTTTCAAAACGTGTTATTGACAATGCACCGTATTAAACCCGTATATACCCGTACCGTATTTTTTCTGTATCCGAATTTTATGGCCAAATTTTTATAAACGTATTTTTCACCGTTTGCCGTATTATACCCGTAAAATTCCCGTCCCTTTTTTTTGCCGTACCCGTATTTACTAACTAGGGCTAGAAGATGATTATTTGGTTTTAGTTTAGGACAACTCTTATATACTTGCCTATCTTGAAGAACCATTTGAATATTCATGTTCTCTTTTTTGTTTGAATAATAAATATTTACTAAATAATTGTTAATTGATTATTATTGATAAAAAAATACAAATTAAAATATTATATTTCCTAACAATTTCAATTGCCTCCAATACCTCAACTAAATTGTTTGATCAATTCTTTTACTAATGTTTTAAATATCACATATTGATTTTGATAACTAGAACATAAACTTAGCTCTCAAACTTATATAATCGTTATCTCATGAAAAACTTTGCTTCACTTGAATATTGTGAAAATGGGTATAGCACGAGATTTGTGAATCATTTATTATCTTTAATATATCAAACTTTTGTAAGCATGGAAGTCCTTTCTAGCCCCAACACCAAAGTATTACATTTGCAACATCTGAGCAGTGCACATGATCCCTTATATGCTATGTGCTGTGTGTGTTCAATAGTAAAGGATGGGTGTAAAATGCTCCTCTAATAGAAGTCTATAAGTCCATTCTTACTTCATCCTTACCCAAAAAAAAAAAAAAATAAATAAATAAACTCAAGACTTTTTCAGTGCACACGAGCCCATTTATGTTATGTGCTGTGTGTGTTAAATAGTAAAGGATGGGTGAAAATGGCTCCCTCTAGTAGAAGTCTTGAAATCCATTCTTACTTCATCCTTCCCAAAAAAACAAATCTCGGACATTTTATCGGACCCTATCTTGTAACATAAAAAAAAAGCCTATATTGGGTAAACATCATAATAAGACTGATAAATTATTTTTCATGAAGGTCAAGATATGCACAAACCTCAGTAATCATTTCTGGGCGAATTGACTGCCGAAGTACACAGAGAGCACCATTCTTTCCATGACCAGAACAGCATACCTGAGAAAATTAAAACAAGACAGAAGATATCGCTTACTAAAACTAAAGCACCAAAGCACCCAAACCAACCCTCAATAAAAAAGTAATCAGAGAGTAATCCAAAATCTTGACCTGTGAAATAATGGCCCTCTATATCATAAATCAACTAAACGAATCCAACATATAGCCTAGGTCAAGCAAATACTAAGCAGCAAAAAGCAATGGATGCACCAAAACTCGCAAAACAATACCAGGAAAGCATGGCAAGTTGAAGCCTGTAACACATCATTATTCTATGTTTCTTTCCTTTGAATGTGCAAATCCCAAAAAATGGAAACTGAGCTCAAAAAAACTAACCAGTTCATAATTACTTTGTTTGGAAATTCCAGTTGCACTTGCATCAGCATTCATCCTCAAGCCATATGAGAAGTCCTTCAAAGGTCCAATGTTAACCAATGAATCCCTCACAGCAAATGAAAAAGTTTTCTGCACGCATAACAGGAGAATAACATTATATAAGAAGGGATAAACGTCAAAAACCATATTGCAAATAATAGATCATCTAACAACTGTTTTAAGAAAATGAAACGTAAACTCTTGATGATAAATGCAATAAGTTATGCTACTTGCAACTTAAACAGGAGAGTAGACATGGTTTCTTATCAGCCCAGCTTTCGAATTCAAGAAGACTAAATAACCATAAAGAGAGCTCATGTTTAGACCAGCAATTTCTTTTTATTTTTTTAGATAAGAAAAACCAGCAGCTTCTCAAACCAACTAGACAAGCGAATTCTAGACAATCACTAGAGAATATATATTAAGAGGCTTGACTAAACTCAATGATGCAGCGTTTATACACACATACTTATGCCACTTAACAGAGATTTAATATGTCGTGAAATGTAAAATAATTTACCATAGGACAGCTTAAGGTTTTGAAAAGAGGCTAATGGGCTTATAAAAATTGTTGCAGCTCTATAGTACAAAAAAATCGAGAAGTAGTACAGTATTCCGTATTTGGATCATACAGCTACTGTCTTAAGCTCTTAGGATGTCTTAAAAACAATTACCATGTCTTATTTCCATTAATATTTTTTTCTCCTCCCCTTCCCAGAACTTGTTCCCTTCAAATTTCAAAAATTTATCATGGGTGAAAATTAATGCAGGAAAATTACTGAAGACAAGGTCCTGAATTATATCAAGAAAGGAACACAACCTGTGCTGATTCCGTGTTATTTGGAGCCGAACCATACAAGGAAAGCTCCTCACCACTAACCATATCTTGCAAGGCATCAGAAGAAGACCTCCGCAATCGCTTTGCTGAAGGGTTATCACCATCAATATCTCCAAACTGAAAAATTGACATTGCAGAAATTATTAGGTAATTACTTTTTTGAAAATTTGAAATAGAAACAGTAAAAAGGAATAAATAAAAAATAGAAAGAGAACAATGAAGCATTGTTCCAAAAATTCAATCAGCTGCAAAATTTGTTAGAATCTAGAAACAATGCAATGGAATTTCTTTTCAAGTGGACAGGAATGCAAAATTTGAATAGTTGGCATTGAAAATTACAAGCAAAAGATGAACTACACAATCAACTAAATGTAAATAACTAATATACGAGTTGAAGAAAAATTACTATTCAGATGAATTGTATACTGAGTAGCAAAGAGAAGTTGATGGCTTCTGCTCACCTCTTCTTTTAAACCTGATGACGGCATTGAGGCTCCTGATCCACAAGAAAATTGCACAAGCAAACTGTCACCCAGCCGACTCCCGAGAAAAAATAATGAATTTCCAATTGTTGTAATGTCCTGAAAGAATTTCAGTGAATTTTGACACATGCCAGATGGAAACAGAGCTAAAAGTAAATAAAAAACAAAGCATCCAGCAGATGCAACTTACAGAAGTAAGTACTGAAGGATTAGACTTGGAAAGATCAAGCCTCTGCACTACCCTTCAAAACAGAAAAGAAACAAATAATACAAGCTATAGATAATGAAACCTACCTACATAACTTTATTTAAAAAGAGGAGAATCATGTAATAAAAAAAAGATGAAATTACAAATCTGGACTCACAGGAAAGGCCGGTCAGATAGCTTTTGGATTGGACAGCTAAAGCCATAGGCCTCAAAAAGAGGCCTCTTTTTAATCATTTTTTCAGCTTCTCTACTTATATAGGTGCCTTTGTGTTTGTTTGTGTGTGCATGTGCATCTAGTAAGGAGATATTTGGGAGAAAAGCCTTGTCTCCCTTCTGACTAGGAGAGAGAGCTCTGCAACCTTCCCCTTAATTTTACCTTGGAATGAATAAAATCAGAAGAAAAACTGATTTTCACTCTTTTACATGCTTCCAGAAAATATCACACTATGTAAGCCCAATATACAAGCATTGCCAAAAAGTGTTGTATCAGACTAACTTAAATACAAGCTCATAAGCATCGCCCAAAAAAATTTAAACTAGGAACAAAAATTTTAAATTGAAATGAAGGCAAATTCCTACCGCCCATCATAAACAAGAGTCAAAAGTAGTAGCTCCCCGGTTTTTGTTGACAGCAACGCCACATCATTTAGCAACCAATTAGCATTGGCAGCATCAAGTTCTACAATAAAACTTGATCTTGGAAGCTCTTGACTGAAATGAATCAAGAATTACAATCAACAAGAAGGAAACGGGGAATTCAGTTAAGCTAAGGGCCTTAATCAGATTTTTATGCAATTAACACCATAAATGCACACACATACACCAAGAAAAAGAGAATAAATAAGCCTCTAACCATGAATGTATGGAATGACAACGACTACTAAACTTTTGAAATGCCTGCATATAAAACAACCCTGAAATCCTGACCAACAGATTAATAACTAAACAATATGAAGCTATATTACATGAAGAATCTGCTTTTCCTACAATTTCCAATTGTCAAACCAAAAGGCAAATTGCATATGCATAAAGTTCACAGGTTTACAAACAATTTATAACACTACACGTTCTAATTTATTTGTCATGGGGTGAGAAAAAGTTAGAGGTAAGAGTCATGACCTGCTATCAGCAGAAACAGCATAATTGTTCAAAGCCAATCCACATGAGGCGGACTGCATGAATCAAAGACCAGCATGTTATAGAGCACACAGATGAAAGAACACCGGACAACGTACATCAACAATTCAAAACCCAGAAAACGACACAAAACAGAAAAACCAAAAAAGTGTACCTGACTATGATAATGAATTGTATTCGCACCAACCACAAGAACACCACCAATTGGCGATGGCACCGCAAGTAGCTTGTAAGCATCGTGCGGAAGATTCTGACATGATACAAAATGCACTTTGAATTTAAACATCAGAGATCATACAAAATATTACAACAACAATACAGATGGCTAATTTGTGGGCTATATGACATAGCATCCATCCATATCTTTAGTATTATCAAGAACATGCTAAATCTCAGAATTTCAACCCATGCTGAAAGCTTTTTCTTTTTCTTTTCTGTTTTTTTTTTTGGGGGAGGGGGGGTGGTGTCAATTTGGTATTCTATGGCCTTGTTGCATAAGAATAGGCTGGACAGTTTTATGTTTAAAGGACAACTATAGATAATGACAGTGTCTGCAAAAAGTAATGCAATTATGAATTAATTTAATACTATTTCAATTGCAGTGTTACACAAATATCCATTACGTGAGTGAATGTAGAACTTCTTTCAGATAGGTTTAATATCAGAACGTACCACAGCTGACCATATAAGTGGATGCTGCTTTAAAGTTGTGCTGATACTTAGCGCAGAAATCATGCAAGTATGGTGCTTCCATGACACACGCCCAGCCCAAGTAAGCTCCCGCTCATGAAGGATGACCATCACAGGCTCAATATAACCTGTAAAATAGATATACCAGATCTAGAGAGAGATCAAGCAACAATTAAGTAGCTCAAAGGCAAGAGCAAATTAGTTAAAGCATTTACTTTCTTCAATAATTTAACTAAACCATATTTACGAATCTAATAGGACCAACATTTATCACAAACTAATCTAAACCACCATGGAAATCATTAAGAGCTAGACATTGTACCATGCACAGAAGAGAAATCAACTTCTGGAATTTACCAAGCACAAATGAGAATTTGCTGGTCTTTCCTAAAAAATGTTAAAGAGTTATAAATTTTCTTTGTATGCTTGTACTTCTTCAGTGCTCTCATCCAAGGACTTCATCTATTAACCCAGAAGAAAAACTATCTAGTGCACTTAAAAGCTAGTCTCCTCAGTTGTTCATACCTATCTAGTATTTACATTGCTACTTTCTTTCCCTTCGACACTTACATCACTACATTCATTTAGGAAGAAAAAAAAAAAAAAAAAAGCCAACATTTCCCTGTAGCTCATATCTTGCATTATACACATATAACATTTAACAATCAGTCAAAGATAATTAATCAGTCACACTCACCATGTACAAATATAAAATCTTTTACATGCTTCATGTCTAAATCTCTCAAGTTGATAACATATGATGACTCAATGCGAGCAGAAACAGCAGCTCCAGAACCAGAAGTATCCTCATCTCCAACCAAACCAGATCCACCCTGACAACCAAAATTTCAAAATTGAAATAATTAAAAAGAAAATAAACAAATATATATTCAAGAAATCAACAGATAAAATCTAATCAAAACAAAACCATCAAGTTTCCAGAAACATGAGTGGTGCTTTGCCGCCCGGTACAAGGAGAGGGAATAACTGCTTGCTGCACATTGTCTTGACATTTTAAAAAGGTTTGCAATTCTATTAACAAATACGCATAAAGTGCACAAACCACCATTGAGTTCTACTGCTAAATCCAAAACTGAAATTTATCTAGCCTCATTTAATTACAACATTTATGGGTACAGAAACATTGTATTTAGTACAGCTTCTTCAAATAGAGATTTTACAAATAAGCTTGTTTTGTAGTTGTCAAACACAAAAATAACTCTTATTTTCTTATTTTTCTTTTATATAGTTACAAGCAAAGCAAATTTGTGTTAATGAAGAGAAAGAGATACAAGAGATTACTGATGTCCCCAATGTATTTAAAGAGTGATCCCAGAATTTTCAGGAAATTGCATTTTATCAAAAATATATGAGATAGTTATGCTTAAAGTGATACAAAGCCCTAACAATTCAACAATAATTATATAGAACAAAAGAGACCTGAGCAGCCTTAAGTACTATCATTTGCAATCCGTAAACAAGAACGCTGCCACACCTGCCTTGAGGATCAACCTTTACCACCGGGCCTCTTGCAAATGATTCTCTACCTCTTTTCAAATGAAGCCACTCAGGACCCTCAAAACAGTGCATAGAGCTGTAAAAGGAGATCAACCTCCATCAAAATTTCAACTACACTGTCTTAACAAATAATCTAACAATAATAAAACTTCCAATCAAAAAAAGGCCATTAGATCTTTACGATGTACGAAGTCCATGAATTGAATCATCAAACTCCAAAACTGATATTTTCGCATCTTGAAATGACAAAATGATCGAATCTCTTCTCCTAGAACTGTCACTTCCTCCTTTTGACAATATAGCCATTGATTCCACATTACCATGCAATCTACAAACCAAACAAACGACAAATCTTAAAAAAACGAAACACCAAATTGATATTAAATTACAACTATAGCAAGCAATTGCTTCCGAACCTGTAATGGCAAACGAGTTCGAGGGAAGAACTGGAGACTCCATCCATTAAAATGCCGCGTTTTGTTTCTCCAGAATTTTTAGACTCTTTACTGCCCTCTTCATGTACCCTAACTACATAAATTTCGAGAACGTTAGCAGCAGTTACAATGAGGTTTGGGACCGGGCCGATTCCTTGCTTTGCAGGCCACTCTGATTCAACTTCGTCGGTCTGAATTAACGGAATTTGCGGCACGTAGTCGGCACGGCAGTGAGTGATGAAACCCGAGCCACAGTTGGTTATGCCGGTTGGCCAGTGCATCATTTTGTACGCCGCGAAGCTCATTTTGGAGAATTCTAGGGTTTCGTATTGAAGAAAGAAAGAAACTGAGTGTTTTGTATGTTAAGGTTTTTGGGAGTGAGAAGAAAGAGAAAGCTTAAACCCTAGTCTTTTGTGTTTGGAATGGCGGGAGGATGATACCTGTGTTCGCTTTTGGTGCTCTGCTGGTCACAGAGTGAGCGAGTGCGCGTGGTTTTGTCCTTCAACTTTTATTTACGATGTCCTTGAAGAGGAAATCAGAAAATATTTAGGTAAATAAACATAATAGCCATTTTAAAGGGGAGATATTGAAAAATAACAAGTTCTGAAAACCTGAACAAATAAATCGTCTAATTGTTATTAAGTCTAGAATGCCCTTAATTATATTAATTAGTTAGTGCTGATTCGCTGAAGCCTGGAGATAAAATTTTAGGGTATTTACGTTCTTACAAGTTACGAGTCATTATATCACCGAGTTGGTTCAGATTTTCAAAAGTTGTTATTTTCCAAATAACCCCTTCATCATAACTATTTCTATTTGTGTCTATTTCCTTATCAAAAATACTATACATACTACTATTGGTTTTTATTAACCAGCATACAACATGACGTGGCATCTGACGTGGCGATGCCAACTCATCTGCCACGTCAGTCACTTGCCACATCACATTGTTCAAAAGAAAATTTCCCCAAAAAAATTTCCCACCTATGAATTTTTTGCCCAGAAAAACATTTGTGCTCTAATCTCCTTCTCCCCTAAATCGCCAGCCACCACTACGGCACCGAAAATAAACTCTGGCACCATCTTTCACTTTACCGGCCTCCGCTGACCAAAACCCCTAGCATCACCACAGAAGATCACCCACCAATCGCCGGTCGCCGCTCATCTAGGGTTCACACTCTTCAAACCAATTTTTTGGTCGATTTCAGCATCAAAAATCTACCCCGACGCCACCTTTCACCTCACCAGCCTCCCCTGACAAAAACCCCTATCATCCCCACCAAAGATCAGCCACCAATGCAATGTTTGAACTTGTTTTCTGGGTTTGTGATTGTTTCAATCAACTGTAGTGCTTTTTTTTTTTCATTTTTCTTTTTAGTTTACAACTCGATGGATCGATTCTGTTCGTCAATCGAATCAATCCTTGGTTCCATCAAATGCTAGAACTTCTTTTGGAAAACATTGCTTTGTAAAACTAATTTGTGCAGGACTAAGGAGCGACTTGGGGGTTCCTCTTGCAGTTAGTGTGGTTGCTTCAGGTACAGTTAAAATTATGAACCCTGCAAATGCAATTTCTAAAATAAACTGAAGTTGAAAAAATTACATACATCATGTGGAAAATAAGAAACAGGCAGTGACATGTGATAGATTGTCATAATCTGCACTTAAGAAAACGTTGAAAACCAAATTGAAAAGAAATTTCTTGGCTGAAGGTGGATTTGGTTTTGTGCACCGGGTGTCTTACCAAATGGACAAGTTGTTGCATAAATTGGCAAGTTCCTAAGGTGATAAAGCATTTTGCTCAGAAGTTGAGATTTTAAGTTGCGCACAACATCATAATGTTGTGATGCTGATTGGATATTGTGTGGAAGATGGAAGGAGATTGCTGGTTTATGAATACATTTTTAATGGATCTTTGGATTCTCATCTTTATGGTAAGTTTCCTCTATCCTAATTTGTGTTATGATTTGCACTGATTTTGGCAGGAAGGAAAAGAGTAAGGTAGAGGGAAATGGAAGGATTGTGTTATAACTTTCCTCCAGCTTCTGGATTGAGTTTCCATTCCTATACCACATGTTAATTTAACCAATACTAAAGCTTTTGTTTATTATTACCAGAATACCTTATAAGTTCATAGCATAAATGTTTCTAAAGAGTCTTTTCCTTCCACTGAACTTCTAAAGGGTAGGTGGGGGCAAGGGGTCTGTTGCTAACCAAGTCTTGCCACCGTTATTAGGAATTATACTATAAATTTCTTAAAAAAGTGTGTAAATAATTTACTCAAATTGTTTAAGGGAAGGTGTTGAATAGTTTATATGATGGTTTGGCTTACAGGGGGATATTAAGTAAAGAGGAAGGTGAAGAAAGGTCTTGTAGTAAAGTGTCTTTAGTTTAAGGGAAGATGTTGAATAGTTTGTATGATTGTATGAGAGTTTAATGTCTTTATTTTAGAGTATTTTATTACTTGATTGAATATCCATTGCATCAGGGTATCGACATTAAGAAGATGGGGAATTCCATTGATGGGTGTATTGTATCCTACAGGTTAGTTGGAAATTCACATGAAGAAATGCAGGTTAATTTGCTTCTTTTTTATATCACAAAAAGGTACTAAAATGTGGCTTCCATATGCCAAGAATACTGCAGAGTCAGGAAGGTCAAGCCTTTAAGGAGGGCTCTTAAGAGCCTACATGCATGGATCACTAGGCAAAGAAAAGATCAGTCGCCAGGCACAAGGGCGAAGATTCCAGTTGTCCAGGTAGATCCCTCCTTTGAAGGAATGGATGGTGGGAATGACAGCTTGATTGGCATATTTATTTTGGAGTTTGTTTGATGGGAGATTGATTATATTGGGAGTGTTTGTGTTGTTTGATTGGTTGTAATGTTTTCCCGACCTTCCCTATCCAGTTACCATATCCACCTGAATTTGTTATATGGCCACCACTTGCTCAACCATTTGCCATTGCCAAAACCAAAACCAAAGAATAAGCAAGCAAGCACTTACGCGCGCAAGCAACTCCCAACGCATGTGCATCTCCTCCCAGCACCCCAAACCACCTTTCTTGGCCTTGTCCAACCTACATTTTACCAACCTAACACCCCCAGCACCCCTGCAACCACCTGCAGCCATTGCCCACCACACACTGCCCCCATTTTCTGTCCACTGCAGTTACTTCCCAGCCATCACCCACCACCACAACTACCCCCCACTGTACCCAAGCCACCTTGTTACCTCCCCACGCGCCAACCACCTTTCTTGGCCTTGCCCAACCCAGATTTCACCAACCTAACACCCCTAGCTCCCTTGCAGCCATCAAGAAAAACACATAAAATTGATTGTTCATAATTAAGAAGTCAGTTCATCGGACTCAACTTGTTTAAAGAGAGAACCATATTTTTGCGACTCATTGATGTAATTTATTGCTTCTAATTTAGGTTTTCAAATGCTTCAAGGTTTAGATGTTCGTTCCCCAATGTTATGTTGTAGGGTCATGTTTTGTTTTGGTAAAAATATTGTACAAGAAATGGCTAATACCAGCAATTGTATTAATAAAGTGTTTTTTTGCTTATAGTAAATCTTGCACCTTTTACATTGATGCCTTGCATGTACAAAATATTATACAAGAACAAAATATATTGTTCATGATACAAGGGTAAGAAACTATGAACAATATATTATACAAGAACAAAATATTATCTAAGAACAACATGACATCTTTAGCTTGGATTACAAATGAACAAAAGTAAATTATATAATACAACTTTACAATATAACATCTTCGAACTGTCTATTCTTTTCACCATGGTCTTCACCCATTATTCTTCATTCACAAGTTTGAATCTACTGGTTACGGCCTATAACTGACTGACCTTTCACTGTAATTCTGGAAAATGAAAAAAAATGACTTAAGAAATTAATTGTACACTAAAAAGAAAAGTGCAGAAAATTAATGAATCATACCTGACTTAATATATGAACTCTTCTTCACATCCTTGGAAGTTAATCTCATCTTGAAAAGGTTCATTCGCTTGCTTGGTTTCTTGAGAACCCCCATCATACAATCGATTCAGGGATGTTGCAGCACACACTTTTTCATGAAATTTCTTTTGTTTACCTTTATGTACATTTTGTTCGAGCTTCGATTGTTTCCTTTTGAATGAAGGTCGACCTTTGCAACGAACATCCCAGGGAGTTAGAATTTTATTGCCTCTATGGAATTAGCGTAAACACTATCAAAATTTGATCCACTATGACATGACATGTCACCATGTCTATCAATCCCACCAGCACGTTCATTTGACAATAATTTCTTTTTCATGTCAGTAATCATATGCATCACCATATTACTATCATCAATATTGGTTGAGGCCAAATCAGCCACCTCAGAGAATGAATTAGACAACTGATCAAATTGTTCTCCTTCAGCAGTCGTGCTCCAGCTATTATAACTAACTCTAATCTTCGTGTGGCATCTATATACATTTTTCCTCTACCTACTTAAAATGAACTTTTCAGGTATATGATAAATCTCTTTATGAAGCAACACCGCTATTGCATGTTAACAAATAATCCTTCTAAACTCAAACAATTGACAGTTGCAACGAACATCACAACCACGGTCATCATAGCAAACCACAAAAACAACTTCCTTTACAATATATTCTATTTCAGATTCAGTGGTCCGGAAAGAAGATATCTCACAATGCAACTTAACAGTTAGCTCTTGCTGAAACTCTTTGAATTTTGCGGTCGTTTATGCCTCCTGAAATTGTTTCTCCATTGGATAACCGATTATGCAAGGGATCCATGATTTTCATGATCTAAAATCAGCCTCCTTTTCTTTTTCTACTTTATCACACAGTGCATTCTCATATTGTTCTACAAACTATTTCAAAGTGGTTTTAGAATTTACATACCCATCAAAGAATGCATGCATACTTTTACTTCGCTGAGTGGTAGACATACCTGCCCAAAATGTGTCTTTTACAAACACTGGTACACAACGTTGATTTTCATTATACAATCCAAATAACCACTCATTGTTGTGAAGGTTGTATTTATCAATGACTCCAGTCCAACGTTGTTCGAACTCCTCACATGTCAATAAATCATACACAACATTTTGCAAAGCAAACTTAATATGTTCGTATTCGATGTAACCCCTTAAGTTTTCCAACAATTTCTTCATTATGTGCCACAAACACCAACTATGTCATGTATCGGGAAACACAATCTCGATTGCATTTTGCATCGCCTTGTCTTGATCCGTGATTATTGCATTTGGAGCACAATTCCACATACATGCAAGCTAAGATTCAAAAAGTCAAACAAAAGTCTTCGTGTCCTCATGGGAGATTAACCCATAACCTAAGAGTGTTGAATGCCCATGATGGTCAACACTAACAAACGCCACAAATGGCATACCATACTTGTTGGTCAAATATGTAGTGTCAAATGTGACAATGTC